TTTTTTTTTTTTTTTTGGAAGGAAATCAAATCGTCCGCCAGAATGTCTTTGATTAGTCAGGTACAAATAAAATTTCAATAGTGTAATCACTAAATTTCCCATTATTGACTTCTAGGCATTAATTTTGAGGATTACAGCAAGAACAAGGGAAAAAGAAAAAGGGAAAAAAAAAGGGTCAGAATTCAGAATCAATAGCAATGCTGTTAAAATCTGTCAGAACTTCAGAGCCAGCCCTATCCATCCTCTGTTTCTTCTGTTCTGCACACAGAATGCAAAACCCCATAACCATAATTATTATTGCACTTCTGTTGTTTATCAAGTTCAATTCAAATCTTTCCACTCTTCTTATGACAAAAAGGGCAAATTTTGAGTTTTCTATTATACTATTGTAAGGAAAAAAAAAAAAAAAACAGAGGTGGGAAATGGGAACCACAGGTAATGAGGATGTGAGAGAGAGAGAATACTTCAACGTCAAGACAGAGAAAGGAATTGTAAAAGCCAGCTAGCATTGAGTAAGGAGCTACACCTACCATAACCCTTTCCTTTTTAGCCTTTGTTTCCTTCTCCCCTCTCCTTTCAAACTTTTCCCTTCCCTTCCCTTCTATCTCTCTCTCTCTCTGCTCTCCCCCGTTTCCTTTCACTAAGGTATACACTACTTCCTCCACTATTGCTCGTTTTCTTGCAATTCTAGGTGTAGTTTTTGGCTTTATGGAGCCATTCTTGGGTTCTTTTGACTCTGCATTTCGTGCTCTGTTTCAAAACAGAGTCCTCCGTACTCTGTTTTGAAATTTCGAGTGTCGGCAGGGGAAATAAAACCCACAGGATTACAAATTTTATTATAGTCTTTATTCTCTTCACTATGTACTCTATTTGTCTGCCGACAAACCCAAGGAATTGAAAAAGTTAAACCAAATTTTCAACCACAATTTCCATTGTTTAAGTGATTAGGCAAATTATGCTGAAATGAACTGCATTCAAGAAATTTTTCTTTTTTGTGTACTAATGGTTTTCCTCTCTTTTCTTGCAGGTTTTCCCAAGAAAAATCTACTCAAATTTCCCAGAATTCGCTTCTCTTCACTTTTTCCAGAAAAATTAAGCTCAAAATTCACAAGGTTTGCTTCACTATCCCGCTTTACCATATCTTCTCCACTTTTTACCCCCTTCCAGAAAAGCAAAAAGTGTTTTACAATTTTAATCATATCAGAAGATAAAACACAACTCCTTAAGCCAAGAGTTTACATTTTATCGTCCCAATTACAAAATAAAATATTCTTTTACAAAAAGCTCTTTCCTTTTTTCACAAAGAAATCAAATTTATGCTGTAATTGGGTCCCCATGTCCCTACCACTGTTGTACACCATCCGTCGGTAGCAATCATTTTCACTTTCTATATTTTCAGTAACAATAATTATTATTATTATTATTGTTCAAAATTTCTCTTATCTTTATTTAAAATTTTGAATTGAAAAAACGTTCAGCGCCAGACCTCTTAAAACCTCCATTTCCGCCGGATAAAAAGCTTATTTCACGCGTATTTATAAAATTATAAATACTCGCGCCCGCCGCCCGCCGGAAAGAGTTAGAAATGGCGAAGGTCTAATTTTTCTTGCCTTACGTCTTGTTTCGCAGTTTGTATTCACCATGATGGAACCCAACTTCGCCGATGACTTGGATTGCGGATTCTTCGATCAAATTGACGACCTGCTTGACTTTCCCAACGAGGATGTCGACGCTGGTCTGTCGGCTGCCGATTCCGCTGCCTTTCCGAGCATTTGGGCCGCCCAGTCCGAGTCATTGCCTGGTTCTCATCCCGTCTTCTCCAACAATGGCAACTCTGACCTCTCCGCTGAATTCTCTGTTCCGGTGAGAAATTTTTCAACATCAAATTATTTTGTATTTTTGAATTACTATTTAATGTGCAATTATTGCTTCAATCACGTGATTAAGTCGGTGTAATTAATTAATTAATTAATTAATTAGTCGTTTTCTGTTTTGTTTTGGCAGTATGATGAAATTGTTCAATTGGAATGGCTGTCGAATTTTGTCGATGATTCCTTCTCTGGAGGAAACTTGATGATTAACAATAAGGAAGATTCATCCCACCGTAAGTTCCAGTCTTCGAGTCCAGTTTCCGTCCTCGAAAGCAGCAGCTCCTGCTTGGTAGAGAAACCAGAGACCGAAACGGCCCCACGCAGCCCGGAAACGGTTGCCACCGGAAAGCGAGGACGTGCTCGGAGCAAACGTCCCCGCCCGACAATGTTCAATCCTCGCTCAATGCAACTCATCTCCCCCACATCCTCAGTGAATGAGAATGACTCCGCTACCCATCATTTGCTTCCCCCTAAGGTTCCATCTGATTCCGAGAATTATGCAGAGTCCCGGCTTCAGATCAAAATTCCGAAGCAGTTTAACCTGGAGCATAAGAAGAAGAAGAAAATGAAGATGCCTAATCCATCTCTTTCTGCTGCTTCTGGGGATGGAAATCAGAATCCACCATCTCAAGCCGTTAGGAAATGTATGCATTGCGAGATAACAAAGACACCACAGTGGAGGGCAGGGCCAATGGGACCAAAAACCCTTTGCAATGCTTGTGGTGTGCGGTACAAGTCCGGCAGGCTCTTCCCTGAGTACCGGCCGGCTGCTAGTCCAACATTCGTTCCATCCATTCACTCCAATTCGCATAAGAAGGTGCTCGAGATGAGGACCAAAATTTGCACTGCAACAGCATTCGTCGACAACTCACCAGAGTTGATCCCAAATAACTCCAATCCTGCAATGAATTACATTTGATGAGACACCATGCAAGTCCCATTTGGCATCTCTGTTTCCCTCCCCTCTTTTGTCCTTTCAATATTATTTCTTTTTCCTTTTTCATTGGTTGTTTTTTGTACAGGGTTGAAATGGGGGAAGAACAAGAGGAATTAGATGAGCAGCATTTTAGCTTAGTAGAGAGGGGGGAATTGAGAAAAATGAGTAGAGAAATTTGAAGGGTAGCAAAGTTGTAGGTTTTAGTGATGGAGTAGAGTCTTTAAGATTATATTAGTCTGTTCTGTCTTCCTTTTTTGTATTCTTTCTTCGTGTTTCCTTCACAGGGGAATTCTTTTTGCAGTTCATTTGTTAGTAGACATATTCCGAAATTGAGTAATGAAATTTGACAACTTATTTCCATTTATGTAGTTACTCTCTGCTTTGCAGTTTCCACTTTACATATTTTACAAATTTACATTGATTTTCATGCACACTCTTATCTCACAATCTAATGCGACAACATGACAGTAATGATCCATTCTTTCACTTATCAAGCACAATCGTGTTTGTAAGCCCCTTCCTACATTTGGGATTTCATTTTCCAATTTGAACCCTGTTCAGTACCACTTATGGGGGCAATAAAAGGGAGATTGTATTTGTGGAAAAGAATGATTAAATATAATAACTCTCAAGAGCTAAACTTGAAAATTTTATATAGAATTAAACAAGACCTAAAGTTCATTTGCAGTATAAGAAGAAAAGGTTTCAGACAGTATCAGTTCTTGCATTCCAAGCAATGCTAACCTTTGTAGATATATATCATTGTTTGATGAAACCAAGCTAGCAAAATTTCCTTCTTTTTTAAGCTTGGATGTAGGTCAAATGACCTTCTCCTTCATAGTAACATTAGTTTGATTATCGTAATCATCCTAATCATGCTTAAGGTTGTTGTGAATAAATCGTCTGGCAACATGTCTCCATCCAGAAGCAGACCCAACTCTACCAAATGAAAAAGGTGAAAAAGGTGAATATTGCAGCTTCATCATAATAATGATTGTATTGCAAGTCATAAGAACCAATTGATTACATCCATATTGATAATGCGTTACTTTCGTTATTCTAACGATGATTGGATGTCTAACGACTGAATTACAAGGCATAAGCAATGCTTTGATTATGAACCGTTCGATGGAGACACTACAAGGACAATATGCAGCAAAATGAGAGAATGCATTGATTCTTGTCAATTCCATCATCAACCCTAAATTCTCCTCCTTGAAGAAATACTTTGGACTCAATGCTTGGCCCAACTACAACAGACCAGGCTGAGTTTGGGTCAAACAAAATTTTTAGGCTCTTATATTAGTCCAGGAACATTGAGGTCCACAGAGCTGTACTTTTTCTTTCACCAATCAATGGGAACACTTTCTGGGCCTAGATAGGAAAACGGGCTGAGCCTACCTTTTAAAAGCCCCATATAATGCTCGGAAAATTCCAGAGCCGTGCAAACTGCAAAACTCCATTTCCTCCTCTCCCCTTTCAGGTTTTCAGTTCGTCGTCATGGGGAGCAAGCATCACCGAGATCAAGCTCTGGTATTTAATGGATTTTAATAGAAATATTTAGTCTTTTTCAGTTTATGTTGGTTCCAAGCTATGAATGTTAGTGGGTTTTTCTTTTCTTCTTTTATTATTTCTGGAAACACGTTGGGTTAATTTACTTGTTTCCAGGATTTCCAGGGCTTTTTGAATGATTTGCAGGACTGGGAGCTTTCCCTCAAGGACAAAGACAAGAAAATGAAACCTCAAGCTTTTGAAAAGGAAAAGCTGGTACTTTTCTTAAAACCCCAATTCTTTTCTCGATTTTTGGTTTACTTGAAAGCCAACTTTAGAGACACTGTAAGTCATGGGTAATTTAAAGAGTATGCTGAACATTCATTTGTAGTAATGTGCAGTGTTTGCCCTTTTTTCAGAAAGGAAGCTCATCAGGGAAGAAGTCGGCATCTGATTATTTGAAGAATTATGATGCAATTAGTAGCCTATCAAGCGGTTTCATGACTGAAGAGAGTATCCCAGATGCTGCTTCCGAGAAAGAACTGGTGAGACTATTGTTTATTTTTTAAACTAAATAAATGGTGTTTTGCCTTTTGTTACTTCTGGGTTATGTTTATAGTGTAACAGTTTACTAATTGAAGGTATGCCATCCATTGGAATTAACAGGGAAATGAGTATTTTAAGCAGAAGAAGTTTAAGGAAGCTATTGACTGCTATTCAAGAAGCATTGCTCTCTCACCGTCTGCAGTTGCTTATGCAAATAGAGGAATGGCTTATGTTAAACTCAAGAAGTAAGTTTGACCTTTTTAAAGTTTTTAACCAATTTTTTCTCTCATGTTTTTTAGCCACAATAATGTTCATGACGCGAATAATTTAGAGTTTGATTCACGTGAATGAAATAAGTTTGTTTCTCTCCATTCCATTCTCTTTTTTTTTCTCCTTAGATTTCAAGAGGCTGAAGATGACTGTACAGAGGCCTTAAATCTTGATGATCGGTACATAAAAGCATACTCACGCCGTTCAACAGCTAGAAAAGAACTTGGGAAACTTAAGGAATCCATTGAGGGTATGCTGACTGTACATAGTGTGTTTTGGGTTGGCCATGGCCCACAGCATCCATTACTTTCTGCTACTTCCTTGTTAGTTTGATTCATCTTATATGGAATATAGTTGACTGCAGATGCTGAGTTTGCCCTGAGGTTGGAGCCCAACAACCAAGAAATCAAGAAACAGCATGCTGAGGTCAAATCATTATATGAGAAAGTAAGTTTATTTAGTGATATCAGTTAAATTTTATTCTCTGCCTACTTTTGGCATATAACCTACCCATTGTCAAGGATGCCAGCTTATCCATGTCTGCACATCTTAATAAGAAGATTTATAGCGAAACAAATAGACACTTGTGGGATATGAATGCATGCTGGAGCCCCCCTTCAATTGCTAAAGAGGAAAAATCCATGTTGAGATAGCAACTCCAGTCACATTTTTATTACTAGGCTGCTGTGGAGATAGCTAGAATAGATGTTAATTCAATTCCATCTAGAAAAAGATTTGGTAGGTAATGTAATCATGGATGAAGTCAAGATTTGGTACATTTAATTGGTATTTTGAGAGCTAGACAAGAGGACAGAAGCAGAGAGGCAAATAAAAAGCAAACACTATAGAGACAACTCAGACAAGTTCAAGGCATTGTAGCTTCTTTTTTCCTTCATTTGGTTCGCAAATTGTTGGGATACATGTCCAAAGGTTTTCTGTTATGTATTTCCTTTGCATCAAAATCAAGTTGTTAAATATTATTAATATTAATTTTACAGGAGATTCTTGAGAAGGCATCTGGAGTTCTGAGAAGCACTATGCAAGGTGCAAAGAAAGTAGAGAAGTCAGAGACAAAAGTGAATGGACATGCATCAGGAGTTGCTGTAGTTCAAGGGGATCAAGCCAAGGTATCAGCTGCTCTTGTCCTCTTGATGATGGTTACTTGGAAAAGATCCTTTATGAGATTGAAATGGTAAAGCTAGTTCGTTCTATATATTGGTTGAGGATTGCCATTACTCTTGGTGGGTATAAAGCACCTTATTCTTGCATTGAAGTACTCAATTAGTTGAAAAGAAAGGAATATAGAGAGAAATATGAATCCTTTCAAAATTATTAATATGTTTAAATTTCTTTTATTTCCTTACAAAGAGAGAAGTCGTTCTTGATCTGATTTATGTCAAAACATAACTGCTTTCATTATCAGCAGAAGAATTCCAATAAGGTATCCGTGCCTGTAGAGGAAATAAAGGAGAAAAATTCTCAGGTTGGAAGCAGGATTAAGGGTCAAGAAGTAGATGGTTCCCATCTAACTGCTGGGGGTGTTGGCTCAGAAACTGTTAAGGTAATAATGGATCCAGTTTCACTTCCTTTCTGTATGTGTCAATTCATCTGTTTGTAGAAGGTGCTGTACAAGAAGCCATTAATTCTTATCACCTCAACCCATCCTTTTCATTTTTCTAACTGTTTGAAGTGTCCTCTATTAATTTTTGATAGACAAGTAAAAACAACAGAAAGCAAGAGCTGCAGTCATCTGTGGAAGAGCTTGCTTCTAGAGCAGCTGCTAGAGCAATGGCTGAAGCTGCAAAAAACATCACGCCCCCAAATACAGCTTATCAATTTGAGGTTTCCTGGAGAGCCCTATCTGGTGATTGTGCACTACAGGCACATCTTTTGAAGGTCTGGAAGTTTAACATGCTCTTTATAGCTTTGTTTTTGACTGATCCGTATTAAACTGTTAACAATATGCATGTCCTGTTTCTTAGGTTAATATCCCTGTTGTTGACCAGTGCCTCTGGTCTTTAATTTAAAGGATATTCAGAAGTATACTGATCAGATGCTGGTTTGCCGGCAATCATGTATTTCCATTTTTCCTCAAAAGTCTTAAAAAATTGAGCTGATCACCACAATTCATTGTATTTTTCTTTTTATTCTATTTTTCTTGTTTTGATCATTTCAACTGATTTGTACTTTTTATAATTACTAGGTTACATCCCCAAGTGCACTGCCACAGATTTTTAAAAATGCCTTGTCTGCTTCAATGTTGGTAGACATTGTTAAATGTGTTGCCACATTTTTCAGGTTAGCATAATTCTTTGCCGTGGTCTGGGATTCGTTGAATAGATTTCTGTTTGAACTTGACTATATAGCTGATTCCCTACTGGCTTACCCATTTGGCAGGGAAGAAATGGATTTGGCTGTTAAATACCTAGAGAAATTGACTAAGGTTCCAAGATTCGACATGCTCATCATGTTTCTTTCACCTACAGATAAGGCTGGTATGTCTAAGCAAATTGAATTGTTTTACATCTGAAAGGTGCTGCTATTTAACTTACATTCCCCCACTACTTTCACTTTGAGCAGATCTTCTCAAGGTTTGGGATGAAGTATTCTGTAATGAGGCAACCCCAATCGAGTATGCAGAGATTCTAGATAACTTGCGGGCAGTATACTGTCTGAAACAATGAGGAATGTATTTGAGATGTTTTGAGCCGTTCATATTTGTCTCCCTGCTGCTGTTTCACTGTAAATGATTCATATTAATGCTGCAATGCAGTGCAGCACCTCTTCTTTATACCCTTGTAATGGCTCTGGGTTTCCTCTACATATGTCCATGAATTCCAGATATCATGTCGTGTTCAAGCATACATCAGAGGAAATTCATAATCTTGTAATCAACAGTATATTTTTTTTGGAATATAACTTTTGAAGGAAGTCCAAATTGAGTTGAACTGAGTTTCTGCTGCTGTTTCAATACTTTAGTAAACTAAGGTGGAAAACATACACAGTAGCTTTTATTGAAATGGACGATGGAAGTATCCGTCTGAGTCCCAAATGGCGTAAAATCAAAATGGCCCACATCCTCTGAAAGAAAACCACTAGTCAAGATTTGCTCTCTTTTTTTGGATCCCCGCATATGGGTAGGGTAGCTAGCAGGAGAAGTAAAGAGCCCATTTTCATTTTTATTCGTTAGTATACAATTAAAATGCCCACCCAACAATATAACAAAAAATCTTTTAAAAAATGTATATTATGTAATTTAAAATAAAAAATTTATATATATATGGAGTTAGTGTTT